ATAACAGCCAACACCAGAGTGTGAAAAATGCTGATCCCTCCTTTGACTTGCTTGCTTTAGCCTCGGGCAGGCTCGAGGAGGCAAAAAGCAGCACAAGGAGAGGCTCATTAACATTTCCYCTGCCCAGCGAGGGAACCGAAATAACAAACAACTCATTAAATAAGGAGAGGAGAGGATTACAAAACACGCGGGGGAGATATTTTTAGTCGGTGGGGGGAAAAAACAAAGCACTTTGTCTTCCCCTCAAAGTAGGGCTTTCCAGATGAAAAGGAATACGGGAGAGAACTCTGCTGCCAGGAGGAGTGGCGYTGATAACAACCATCATTATGGGGTAATATCGATAGCGGGATGCCCTCAGTTTCCCCAGTGAGTGACGTGCGGTCCCCAGACCTGGGGGACGATGGGTGGCCGCGAACAAAAGCGCCGCTGACGTGTGAGCCGTGTTTTGAATGCGAAACTCMGCGTTGTGAGTGCCAGCTCCGGTGCAATAAAGTGTTCCAGGGGCTGGAGACGGATGAATAGAGACGTATGGCGCAAATTAAATGTGTTATTTCTTTTCCCTTCTGTTGTTCCTCGCGAATTTAAAACCCCGACACCTTGGTTTAGTCTTAATTTTGTTGCCTTCTGAGGGTTTTGCTACGAAAGAGCAATGGGAGAATCGATAGGGATTAAAAAAATGTGGAGGCAGAAGTGGGGGGGGCAAATGTGGTTTTTTTTATTTTCTTCTTTTTTCTTCTAGAAAGAGGAAGCAATTATGGGAGAGATGGGGAAAATTCTAGCACAGGGAATTTAGGATAATGCAGAAAATCCCTTGTTCRCCACTAGGAAATATTAGTTCCTGCAATAACACGGGATGAATTGCCCACAAAGCCTTCAGGCTTCTAATTTTAGGCTCTTCAAAGAGTCCTGGGTGAAAGGCAGGGTCCTCCAGATGGTGATTCTGAGGAGGAACACAATGCACATCTCCGAGCATAACCGAGGCGGGATCTTGGCAGCACAGGAGGGCACTTCAGCACCCACCAGAACTCTTCAGAGYATATGCCACGGAAAAGCAGCACAAAGTCAGCTGTGCCAGAAACTTTCCCAAGTTTTCCTCGGGATCTCCCCCTTCTCACTCACCCACCGAGTTTGTCAGGCTCACAGCTCAGGCTGCTCTCAGTGTCTTGCCATAAGGCACCTCTGAGCAGAGCACTTGGCCAGATGAGGTGCTAAAGGCCTGCCAACCCAAAAAAAGAACCCCAAACCCCCACACTTTCGCTCTAAGGCGAGTTGCAGTGAGAGCCCACAGCCTGAGCAGGTGCCAAGGGGTGAGTGTCACCAGGATCTGGGTGCATCGTGTCCTCAGCAAACAGTGACAGCCCTGGGGAAGGTGCCAGTGCTGCTTCGACTCAATGTCCCTTTGTTCTGGTCCCACTCCCTTCAGGGGAAAACTCAGTTGCTGTTCACTGTCACACTCTCCTTTTGCTGCCTTTAATTAGTCTGTTGGCTTTTTCCTTTCTCTCTCTTTTTAAATTTTTTTTTGGATTGTATCCTAACCTACAGTTGCTTTAAAACTCCACAGGAAGCTCTAGGGAGACAACCCACGTTAACACCATCCCTGCTGAGCTATGAGATGTGACTTTTTTTACTATTTTCTCTCCTTCCCTTGCTTCTGCTGAACTCTTTTGGAGCAAACTGCTCACTGCTCATCCTCATCCTCACTTCCCACTTTCTTTTCTGCTCCTCTTGGATCTCCTGTGGTCACCCAGAGGGCTTCACTCCCTGCTGTCTCCTCTGCCTGCATCATTGCCAGCTCTCCTGAGCCCTGACAGCAAATTTCAACAGAATTCTGGCTGCTTCTTTGTGAAACCCTGGGATCAAGCTGCTGTGGCTATGAAAGCCTCCTCCCAATCCTGGCCCAATCCACAGATCTTGTCCTTCCGTGCCTGTCTGTCTCTCTGTGCCTGGAAATTGCCTGTCTGCCTCAAATTGCCTCTCTCCATCACCTCRTTCCACATCTCCCTCCTCCCTTGGCTTCCGGCTCCCCTCTCCCCTCCTCCTCTTCCCACGCACCTCGCTTTAATTAGAAATACAAAGAAAATGCTTATCACACATGTCTTAATCAGCRACTCGCTCTCCAGCGGGTCCAGAAGGAAAACCCCCATTCGTCCTCGCTTCTCCCACTTCCCCCACCACCTCCACAGATTTAGGAGGAGAGTGATTAGGGGGAGAGCTCTGTGAAAAGAGGCTGAATGAGATTAACCCAGAGACCTGGAAAAGCTGGAGGGGAGGGCTGAGATAAACGTGGTGACATTCAGCAAGGGCTAATTCTGGAATTTCTGGGAAGGAAGACACCTTGGCAGCAAGTGGTCAGGAGAACCGGACCTGGGAATGCTCTGCAAGCTGAGGATGAGCCAGCAGCGTGTCCTGGCAGCAAAATAATTATCCTGGATTGTGAGAGCATAAATACAGCCAGGAGATCATAGAAGTGATAATCTCCCTCTCTAGCCAGAGCATTTCAGATCATATTTAGCTGCTGCAACCAGGTTTAGGCCTCTTAGGATAAGTCACTGATCACAGGGAGTGAGTTAAGGCCATTGGGATGGTCAGAGCTGGTGCCTGGTGTGGGATTAGGCCTTGTCCAGTCTGGAGAGTGTTAGGAGAKCTAACAGCTGTGTCCTGTATCTGTGGGTAGGTTATCAAGGAGATAGAACCAGGACCTTCTTTGAAGTGGCTGGTGAGAGCACAAGAGGCATTGGGTCCAAATTCCAACAGAACACTCAGTTTGGGTACAAGGAAAAAAGGTTTTCCCTCTGAGCAATTCCTGTTCTTGGGGTTTTCAGTATCTGAAACCATCTCAGCTGACCCAGCAGCTGACTCAGCTTGGAGTAGGAGGTTGAGCTAGAAACCTCCTGAGTCCCTTTCCTCCGTAATACTCCCCAGATCCTGCGACAAGAGCCAAGAGTCAAATGAGGCCATTCACATCCAGAATTCCTCCCCAGCTGAAAAGGAAGGGAGGAGGAAAGAGGAACCTAAAAGGGGCTCATTCATTGGAGCAGTTTTAGGCGCCATTTTATTCCAAACTCTGGCATTTGATGGGACAAGRAGAGGTTGAATTCAGGTCATCTCACCTGTATTGTATTGTCCCCATCCTGTGGGTCATTTCTGGGGTTCCTGGATGAAAATCTCTGTGGGGAATATCTTTGCACCAATCCAGAGGTAACAAAGATTGCAGAGTCTCCCCAAATCCATGTAATCTCTTACTGGCAGAGCAGGTCTGAGGCAGATTCTCTGTGGGGCTGAAACCTCAGCGTAAAAGGCTCCAGATCTGTCCTAACCCCTCAGGTGATGGACATTTGACTTTTTCTAAACACAAACGGTTGCCCCAAAACCTTGTGCTTAAGAAAGCTGGGTGAAAGAGGAGAAGTAAGCGAAGAAGTCATGGGGGAAGAATTGGCACGAGGAGGGGCTGCTGAACTGGGGATTCTGTGTTACACCCTCAGGGGTTTGTCCCCTTCCCCACACTGTCAACCAAACAATGCAGCCCTTTCAGGTCAGCTGCTGCTGCCCTAAATAACCCTCTTGTTCCCTAAGATAACCCCTAAATAGCCCTCTTGTACCCCATGAACCAGACAGGTGCCTTCCTGCACCACATGGATATTGGGAGGAAAAAAGGGGAATCCTGATCCCTGCCCCTCATGCCCTTTAACTTAACCAACAGTTTATGATTCTGCTTTACCCRAATTCCTGGGCTCAGTGAGACCTCGTTACAGCAGGAATTTGCTGAAAGACCCCCCCGCCTCCTCCTCTTTTTGTTCCTCTGGGATGGCTGAATTCCCACTAGGGAACACCCAGCCAGGAGCTTTGGGAATGAGGACCCGTCCTAAGCCTCCCTGGCACACTGCCCCCCATCCCAGGCAGAGCCAGGACACCCCCCCAAGCACCACCCTGCTGCCAACAGGCTCAAACCCCCTTTTCAAATTATCCCAATGATTCAGCATCCCGCTGCCTCTGGCCACTGGCACTGGGAAGGGATGAGAAGGCCCAGATGTCCTCAGGACCTCTCTGAGGGTGTTCCGGCGGGGAAACTCTCTCGGATTAGGGAATCCTTTATCTCCGGTTTATGTAAGACCCGGAGACTCCTTTTATGGTTGGCTTTTCCTGCCTTGTCAAGAGAGAAGAACAAATGTAGCTTCATCTGCGCTGGTGGGTTGGCTCACTGATTAAGCATCTGATTCAAAGCTAAGTACAGAACAGGCTTTTGATGGGCGGATTTAATTCGGTGTAAAAAACCAGGATGTCGTCCCCCCTCCCTCACCCGATATTCCCAAGATAGGGGTCGGTCTGGTGCGATTAAGCCAMGGGGATGACCCCCACCTCCCAAAGCATGAGAAAGTCCAGAGCGCTCTGATTTGTGCTGAAGTGGCTCCTTTGAGCATTTCCCCCTCTGCTTTCCCCCCTCCCCTTTGCTGTTCCTTTCTCTCCTCTCCTTTTTTTTTTTTTTTTTTTTTTTTTTTTTTTTTTTTTTTTTTTTTTTTTTTTTTTTTTTTTTTTTTTTTTTTTTTTTTTTGCCTTTCCCCTGCTGATTTACTGCCATTCCCAGGCATTTGCATGAGCAGTGAGCTCACGGCGTGCGGGGGTGCGTGCGGGGGGCCCCGTGGGTGTCTGTCTCGGTGTGACACACCRAATTCATCCCCGAGCCCTGCCAGGGGACGCCTGTTAGCGATGACCTTGCTGAGTAAAGAGTTGTGGAAGGAATAAGTGTTTTTCCTGCGCTCCGAGAGGCGGAAGGTGCGATTACTCATCCATCTCTCCAACTGTCTCCAGCACCTTTCAAGTGCTTCTCGCGTCGAGTCTGGGGGCGTGAGCGAGGGGGTGGCGAGCGAGGGGAGGCTGCCAAAATCTGGGTTGCCACAGACACCGGCCTCGCTTTTCCTCCAATGAGAGCCGCGCTGAGAGTGCGAGAGGAGGCTGGGCACCACCCACATGTTGAGCTGCGTGGAGTATAAGTAGATGGAGGAGCCTGGACTAGTGGCAGTTCAGACAGGGAAGAGAAGCAGCTCTTCGCATCTCCAGCGAAAGCGGTTTTTCACTCACCAAGTTTGCCAGAGGACAAATCACCCGGATTTTTGCTGCAGCTTCCAGCTTCTTTGTGCATCTCCGTGGGATTTCCTCCGGCGGGGACTTTGAGATTCTCGGCAGGGCTGGACATCTTATCCAACTCCTCTCCTTGTTCCTGGAGGATCCTGGTTCTCTCTGGGACACCCCTGAGCACGTGAGACCGGCGTTTCCAGTTGGGCACCGGGAGAAATTTGCCTACAACTCTCTCTGGGATCCACGTGGACCGGCAAGCTCGCTCTGYGGTGATATCTGATTGGGTTGTGTTTGTGTCCAAAAGTCCTTGGAGGGGGGTTTAGAAGTCTCTGTGTGTCTTTCAGGAAGTGTTGTGGTGGGGGTTTTCGGGCTCCAGCTCTAGTGCCAGGGCTTTATAACCCAGTTATTACCCAGTTTTTTCCGTGTTTGCCGCTCGCACGGTCGGAGCCATGCAGCTGGATAATGTCACCAGCGCGGGCATCCACTCCTTCCAGGGGCACCGTGGAGTGGCCAACAAGCCCAATGTGATCTTGCAGATAGGGAAGTGCAGGGCAGAAATGTTGGAGCAYGTCCGGAGGACCCACCGGCACCTCCTGACCGAGGTCTCCAAGCAGGTGGAGCGGGAGCTGAAGGGATTGCAGAAATCGGTGGGGAAGTTGGAGAACAACTTAGAGGACCATGTCCCAACYGAAAACCAGAGATGGAAAAAGTCCATCAAGGCCTGCCTGGCCAGGTGCCAGGAGACCATTGCCCACCTGGAGAGGTGGGTCAAGAGGGAGATGAATGTTTGGAAGGAGGTCTTTTTCCGCCTGGAAAAGTGGGCTGACCGCCTGGAGTCCATGGGAGGCAAATACTGCCCTGGGGAGCAGGGCAAGCAGACGGTGTCTGTCGGGGTGGGMGGCCCGGAGATAAGGCCAGGTGAGGGCGAGATTTATGATTACGCCCTGGACATGAGCCAGATGTATGCCCTGACCCCTCCTCCCGGGGAGGTGCCCAGCATCCCCCAGGGCCACGATTCCTACCAGTGGGTCTCCGTGTCRGAGGACGCTCCAGCCTCCCCCGTGGAGACCCAGGTGTTTGAGGATCCCMGGGAGTTTTTGAGCCACTTGGAGGAATACTTAAAGCAGGTGGGTGGGACAGAGGAGTATTGGCTGTCTCAGATCCAAAACCACATGAACGGCCCAGCTAAAAAGTGGTGGGAGTACAAGCAGGACTCCGTGAAAAACTGGGTTGAGTTCAAGAAGGAGTTCCTGCAGTACAGCGAGGGAACTCTGACTAGGGATGCCATCAAAAGGGAGCTGGATCTGCCCCAGAAAGAGGGGGAGCCCCTGGATCAGTTCCTCTGGCGCAAGAGAGACCTGTACCAGACCCTTTATGTGGATGCAGACGAGGAGGAGATTATCCAGTACGTGGTAGGAACCCTCCAGCCCAAACTGAAGCGTTTCCTGAGCTACCCCCTGCCCAAGACCTTAGAGCAGCTGATCCAGAGGGGCAAAGAAGCCCAAGGCACCATGGAGCACTCTGAGGAGCCCAGCCCACAGAGGACCCCYGAGGTTCAGCCAGGAGACTCCGTGGAGACCGTGCCCCCCTCAACCACTGCCAGTCCCGCGCCGAGCAATGGGACTCAACCAGAGCCCCCCAGCCCCCCCACCACCGTCATATGAGCTCCCCTGAGGGAGGTCTGGGTCATGTGGAAGGGAGAAGGGGGCTTATTTAGGAAGCTTCTCCTTGGAGGGAGGTTCTGGCTGAGACGAGAGCTGAGGAGTGCTCAGTCCAACAGCCCAGAGCAGAGGGGTTGACTTTGCTCGTGGGGGGAGGGAGGTGGTGGGGGAGAGGCGCCTCAGGATGGGGCTGCCCACCTCACCTGAGCCATGCCACGCCGTGGTGCTGGGGACCCTGCTGGCACCACTGCGGGGAACAACCAATTCCATGAGAATTCCCTGATGAGAAACCAGAGACAATTCCCAACTTGTGGAGCAGCCGCTGGGCGCCRGCGGCTCTCAAGGACTTCACACAAGTGCAGCAGTTGGTGGAGGGTTCCTACCCATCTGGATCTCTTCTTTTTCCTTCTCTYCTCCCTCTTCTGAGGGGGTGGCCCTGTCCTGAGGGGACAGCTTTCTTTTGACCCTTGCCTGTTTCTGATTAACCTCTGGGTTTCTTTTCACTTGGCAATCTCCTGCTCTTACTTGCTCCAAAGGATTAATTTTTAAAATTTTTTTTTGTTTGTTTTAAGAAGAAAAAAAAAAAAATCCTATTACTGCAGGAACCTAAAGCTTTAAGAACCTGGATTATTTTCTGTGGTTTTCATTTCAYTGCACCTAGTAATACCTGCTTTAATGTGTTTCCTCTCAAGAGGCTCTTACTGGTTTACTTCTTGTCTTAGTTTCTGCTCACTCTAATTCAAGGCCACTGCAGTGCAGAGGCGAATTTCCTCCTTTCTCTGCACATTATCCTGTGCATTCAGCAGGAAACAGATTTTCTAATTAAATTCTGAGCTCATTTATTGAAGGAGCCGTCTCCTTCCTTTCAGAGAAGAGAGGGTTTTCAAGGTAGAGAGAGGAGACACCAGAGCGCTTTTGAGAGAGTGGGGGGAGGGAAGGGAAATAAATCCTTATTCTTTGAATGAAACAAACAAACACAGCCTAAATCCAGAGCAAAATATCCCCAGAGCAGCAAATCGAGTCCATGCTGATGTGTGGAGACAACAGGAGCTTTTGCCATGTAAAAGCCAAAAGAAKTGAAGAGAGGATCTGTGTGCCCCAGCACAGTTTTAGCCTGTGCATCACAGCAAGGAATTCCTGCTCACACAGACAGACTCCAAATGCCCTTGGAAAGYCTGGCACCGCTGTCCTGAAGCACCTGAGGACAGAGTGGTTGGTGCTCACAGAGAACTTCCTGCAACATCTYGCCACGGATGGAGATGGACTTGGACTTTGTGACTTTCTCCGTGTTGAGAYGGGAAATGCTCAGTGCTCGCCTTTGGCCAGCGTTTGATGATCGGACTGGGAGATGAAAGACATTCCTGAAATTTGGCTCTCCAAAGCTTCCTGAGGCTGGACACATCTTGGGCATCATCTGCATCCAGCACCAGACCTAACAGCAGGGATGCAGCAGAAGGAGTGACCCTGGGATGCTCCTGGCACTGCCACAGTGGTGACATGTGGCACTGGTGGCACCTTTGCTGTGAATCCTTCCAAGAGGCTGAAGGTAAGGCAGATCCCTGGCATTCACTCCTCAGAGCTCAATTGGTCAGGGAATGGGATAAAAACTCATCTGAAATGGGATGTGAAGGATTGGGGTTGGGAGAAAGGGGAAGGCAGAGACAGCCAAAGGGAAATGCAGAACAGGGAGTGCGGAAAGTTTCCACAGAGGGCAGTATCCTTCAGTTTCTGATCAATTCGGGAAAAGAATGGGAAACTTCCTCATTAGCCCAGCCCCTGGACGTGCCTTGTCCTTCATGCTCTGGGCTTGAGTCCCCATGTGAGCAGCACATCCCAGCTCCCTGCACATCCCAAATGAGCTGCAGGTCTGCTCTGCATCCTTGCTGGGAGCTGATCTCAGGAGCAGTGGGAGCTCTCACTTGTTCCCAATTTGTCAACAGCTCCGTGAGCGGAGAAAGGAGCATTTCTCACTAATGACCCCGGCTGAGTGATGGGGGAGTGGGAGTCACTGCTGAGGATGAGCTGGCCATGCATTACAAGCTTTATCTCCTCTTGCTTCCAGTGACTCACTCAGATCCTCCTCTGAGAAGGAATCACTTCGCAGCATTCAGCATTTGGAAGGAAAGAAACAGAAAAAAAGCTGCAAAACAGGGGCCTCAGCATCAGATCTGCTCTCAGGACCCTCAGCCACCATCTGCCAGATCCACCACCTGAAGGAAAGTCTGGCACAGGTAATTACATCCCAAATTATCTTGTGGGCCTTTCTCAGTCTCCCCAGYGCCCTGATATTGAACAGCCAAGGTGCAAATACCAGTGCTGGTCTTGAAACCTCAGCTCCCTTGGCTGCAGCAGCCTGGCACCGCCAGAGGGGTGGAATTTCAGCTTCTTGATGTCAGATCCCAAGCACCAGCCCCAGTAATTGATGCCCCAGGGACTGCACATCGTGGCTTTCCCTTGGCTGGACCACTGGCCAACCCTCAGACCCTGACATCAAGTGGGTCCTCCAGGCTGCAGGCACAGCTAAATTTAATCTGAACTTTCTTTCCACTTTAAAAATCTAATCAGAGTTGGTGCATTTTTTTTTTTTCTTTTCCAGAGATCCCTGCTGCTGTTGCTGAGTTTCCTTCTCTGTGCCCAAGAGCTTTCCCAGGAGAGAAGCAAGTGCTGCAGGAAAACAGAAGGCAGATCTTGCACCAAAGAGCCTCCCATGCAGTGCAATGCCATATTCAAGGTGCTGAGAGCCAGAATGAAAGGCTTCCAATGGGACAAAGCAAAGCCTGAGCTGGTCCAGGTGTTCCAAGCACAGGAGAAAGCACTGAGAATGGAAAGAGAGGCCAGAACAGAAGAACCAAGTCCAGGCTTTGGAGACAGCAGGGGTGCTGGGCTTGCCTGACTGTCTGTGGAGATGATTCYGCACCTCTGCGATTTGGGGCCATTGGGACTCACTCACCTAAAGAAATCTTCACTAGAAAATGATCATCACTGGAAAAAAGAACCAAAACTTTCCTGATTAACTTTTCCAAGAGGCTGATCCTGCCTTGGCTACGAACCCTCCCTGCTGGCCGTGCTGTAACTCACCTCTCCTGAGCYGAGGGTAGCTTCATTTCATGCGGGTATCAGTTCCAAACCTCAAAGGGCTCCCGGAGTTTGGAGAAGCATCCCGTGGTCCAGATGCTTGTCTGAACTGTTGGAGCCTGCACATCTGGGCCAGCTGTCTCGCCAGCAAGGAGCTTTGTGAGACAGCAGGCGCTCGCTGGGTCTGCATGGGCCAGAGTTACTGCAAGAACTGGAGTTCTTGTGCTGGCTTTGGGGTGACTGTTTCCATCCAGACCCAGGGAGCCCAAAAAGAGCTCAAGTGAGCTGGACAAGACAGTTTTGGTTCGTCTCTCAGCTGAAGAGGTCCAGTTGGTTCCTCTCTCTTCCAGAGCCAGCTGTCCTGGGTGTGTGTGCGTGTGTGTGGCAGTGTGGGGAGTGGGTGCGTGTGTTGAGCAGAAAAATCCACGTTACTTAAAYTCTGTGGTGTTTTGTTGCATTTGAACTAAGTCAGTGAGACTTCAGGTACATTCCAACAATGCTCAGCCAAAATGTCCAGGACTGGAAAATTCCATAAAACCATGTAAAGGCAGATTCACAGGCATCATCCTAAGGTCTAGATTAAATTTGATTTTGAGGTGCTTAATTTCCACAGTCTCTTCCAAGGGACTTTGACTGCCTCAACAGGCGTTTTATTTTTCCTGCCTTTTTAGGGAATTAGCCTGTCTGTGCTACTTGGTCRTTTGGTCCTGAGGTTTTTACATTTTCAGCTGGCTTTTTGGAGTGTACAGAACTGAATCTCCTGGCCTGATTTGATTTCAGTTKTTGCTCCCAGCAAATTGGAGCTTTACTTGTAGCACCCTGGTTTTTATTACCAGCCTCTCCAGGAAGGACTGGTAGTTTATTTTCCTGGCACAGAGCCACATGAATGAGAAGCGTGGATGTGTTGTACCTCTGGAACTTTAGCAGATTTCAACCACTGCATTTTTTTTCCTCCCTAGGCAATTTTACATTTACTGACGAAACTACTTTAGAGTTTTTATTTTTACTAGAGATATTATTAATTCAAACAACCTTGTACAAAAGGCAAACGCGTCAAATCACTGCAGGTTGTAGGGGTTGAAGCCAAAAGGTCTTTGTAAGCCGACATCACCTRCCCTAGACCTGACTGTATCAGGCARTTTATTCCTCACGTGTCATGTTGGAGTTACAAGATCACACCAAGCCACTAGAACCTGTCAGTAGAGCAGTGCTACTCTCTGTTTGCTATTGTAGCAAAGSCTTTTTAAGATTTATACAATAAAACTTTGAAATATCTGCTTCARTTGCTTCCCATCTCATTTTCTGGTCTTTCTTCCTTGGGTCATGGGCGACTCAAGGATCTGCTGCCCTCTGAAAATCTGTGTTTTTTGGGGTTACCTGGCTTGTGGAAATGGTTCTTYTCAGCAAAAGTGTGTGATTGATATAAAAGTGAAACACACTGAGTTGTTCAGACTCTAAAACAGGGTCAGATTGTAGTCCATGGGGGAGAAATGGCCCTTTGTGGGACTGTGGATTGTTGGGCAGGGCTCTTGTAGGGTACAGCTCAGAGAAGGACCATTGAAACAGGGACAATCACATCCCTACCCACGTTTGAGAAATAACGAGCACAGAAAACCTGGGGCAGGTCAGTACAGGGGAAAGAAACTGAGCCTCAGACAGCTCTACTTGACAACCAAAGAGGCTTTGTGASAAAAGCACCAGCACTCAGCAGAGACCCAGAAGCTGGGGCTTTGTTATCTACTGCATTCTCAATTCCTTGGGTTCATTACCTCTGACACATTCCAGGGTTATCAGGAAAGGGAAAGGAGCAGGGAAAGGAGCTCAGAATTTCTTAAACTGAATTGTTTATTTTGCAATAGATTGGGCTCAAATTTCTGCCCCAGTGATGTTCRGCCCCAGGATTGAGGTCTCTGCTTCTGCAAATCCTTCCTCTTTGAGAAAAGCTTTGCACTTAGATGGATTTAGCCCCATTCCCTGCTCAGTCTCTGGTTTTTCTCCAATGATTAAGGAAAATGGTTCAGGGTGGTATACAAATAGCAATGTGCACTCAGGGTTGGAGAAACAAATGGACTAATTCCTTTTACAATAGGGAATAAATGCCAATAAACCTCGCAGATATCCCTTTGGAGCTCAGGAYGGAAAGGCAGAAAACATCTGATGGCTAAAATGCCTCAAGGAGCGCTGCTGACCTTGGTGTCTCCAGCTCTTTGCAGCTTTTTTGACTGCAAACTCTTGGCAGTAGTGASAATGAAACTTTGAAAATGCAATTTGGTTCCACAACTGAAATCTGCCTTTGTTAAAAGCATCAGAAAAGAAGTGGAAAAAAAAGCTTTGAGGTGACAGACCAATGAAAACGGTACATCCAGTCCTGGGACAATCTAGAGAAGCCACAGCTGAGCAGGTTTAGACTTCTCATGGTCTATGGACATGGCCAAAAGGGCCACAAACAGCCCAAACCTTGCAGAGCGAAAAAGGGAGAGTTCCACCAACCCTGCCAGAGCCCAAGAAGTGTTTGGACAAATTATTTCAGGCACGTGATGGGATTTTKGGGGTGTTCTGTGCAGGGCCAGGAGCTGGATTTGATGATCCTTTTGGGGTCCCTTCCAATTGAGGAAATTTGAGGGTACTGAGCTCAGCTGGAGGTGCTGAGCTCTTCCAGCAGAGGGGGGCAGAACTCCACTGTACACTGTGGGAATTAAAATCAGGAAAAACACTCTAAAGGGAAAAATGTGTGCTTGTCATCATCCATTCCCACACGGCCCATGCCCACAGGATACAAGATCAGGGGTGACTTCAGTGAGGGAGATCTGAGAGAAGAGGAGGTGAGAGGGTAGGGTTGAGGACTGATGGCCAAGTTGCCAGTCTGGAGGGACATGGACAGCATGGGAGGTGAGAAAGGAAGATGAGGCTGGAAAATGCCTGCCTGTGCCAGGTAAACTCATAAGGTTTCCAGTTTTGTCCCGGAGTCTTATAGATTTGACTSCAATTATAATTATTTCCTTACTTTCTGACAGCTCCAGGTGAAAATCACTTGAGAGTCATTTGACCTAGACTCATTAATTAAYGAAAAGGTGCTTTATTACTGTTCCTGGCTCTTGGAGTAGGGAGTGACCTGGAATGGGTGTAGCCCAGGGATGGATTAACTGCYTCAAACTATTGAAACCCACCTTTAAAATCAGAGTGGGAACCAGCCCTGTGTTTTCTGGGACAAGCTCCAAAATGCAGAGATATTCACACAGAAAACAGCCTCAGGCTGCACCAGGAGTGATTTAGATATTAGAAAAATACTGTTCACTGGAAGGGTGGTCAGGCATTGGAACATTCTGGAATCACCATCCCTGGAAGTGTTGAAAAGCCTCATGGATGTGGCACTTGGGGACAGGGTTTAGCGGTGGCCTTGGCAGTGCTGGGTGAATGGTCGGACTCGATCATCTCAAAGGTTTTTTCCAACCTAAATGATTCCATGATTCTATAAATGGGGGAGAAGGCATTTGAGGCCAAGCACTTAAGAACTGAGAAAAAAAAAATCAATATTTGATAATTTTCACTTGATAATTTTAATTTTCCTTCTATTTTTGTTGTTACTAGACTGATGGGCCCTTTAATTTGTTTATTCAGGACAGCTTGAAGAAGGGGTCAAGATAGACCTGCTTAGTCTGTTCCATAAATAATTTTATAGAATCATAGAATGATTTGGGTTGGAAGGTACCTTAAAGATTACACAGTTCCACCCCGCTTCCATGGGCAGAGCCACCTTCCACAAGGCCTGGCTRCTTTGTTCATTTTTCCCCTTGTTTTTAAAAAGGGAAGATTTTTTTTTATTTTCTATCTCCTTTCTTAATCAAAGAGATTGCACCATTCACTGATGCAAATCATATTTATTGACTTTCCAGTTGTGTGTGTGCACAGCTCAACTGCTCCCCTGGATCTCCTTTTCCCATGTAATTAAGGGAGGCTGTGAAATTTCCATTATTGACACAATGGGCTCTAATGGCTCTGCTTGTCACTTCCAAACGATGGATTTGGTACTCCCGTCACAGAGCAGGACAKTGTCCCAGATCTGTTCCCACAACACTCATTTGTACCAAGGAGGAGTTGGGGGCRGGTTTTGTGTTTTTTACATCTGGTTTTCAATCTTTAGGAATTAAAAGGTTGCCATTTATATCCATTTCAGTTCCTGACACGGTTTATGATGATTATTAAAAATCAGACAGAAAATGAGACAATTTTCATTATTTTCTTGGGCTATATTTAGGGATTTTTAGGATCCTGTTAAGTTAAAGTGATCCTGCAGTGTGTCAACATGTTTTTCAGTCATTCCCTCTGGGATGTTTATTAATTTTCAGCTCGTTAATTTAAATGCCTAGAAGAGAGCTGCAGTGGGAATTTTACAAGGGCRTGGAGTGATAGGACAAGGGGAATRGCCTTAAKATGAAGGAATTTAGATTTAGACGGGATATTGGGAAGAAAGTCTGCCCTGGGAGCATGGGGAGGCCCTGGAATGGATTTCCCAGAAAAGCTGTGGCTGCTCCATCCCTCAAAATGTCCAAGGCCTGGTTGGATGGGGCTTGGAACAACCTGGGATAGTGGAAGGTGTCTGTGCCCATGGCAGGGATGGAACTGGATGATCTTTTAGGACTTCCGACCCAACTGGATGATCTTTTGACTTCCAA